AGAGGCGCCGAGCGGGGGTGGGCATACTTATTGCCCCCTGGCTGGGCGCCTGTACATTGGGGTTTACCGCAGTGGACGAGAGGGTAGCTTCCCTTCGCCTTCGGGTGGGGGGACGGGTCCTGACTGTTGTTTGTGCTTATGCACCAAACGGCAGTCCAGATTACCCACCCTTTTTTGAATCCTTGGAAGGGGCGTTGGAGAGTACTCCTCCTGGGGACTCTCTTGTTCTACTGGGGGACTTCAATGCTCACGTGGGCAATGACAGTAAGACCTGGAGTGGCGTGATTGGGAGGAATGGCCCCCCTGATCTGAACCCGAGCTGTGTTTTGTTGTTGGACTTCTGTGCTCATCATGGATTGTCCATAATGAACACCATGTTCAGGCATAAGGGTGTTCATATGTGCACTTGGCACCAGGACACCCTAGGCCGCAGTTCGATGATCGACTTTGTAGTGGTGTCATCAGACTTGCGGCCGCATGTATTGGACACTCGAGTGAAGAGAGGGGCAGAGCTGTCAACTGATCACTACCTCTGGTGGTGGGTTGGCTCCGCTGGTGGGGGAGGAAGCCAGCCAGGCCTGGCAGGCCCAGGTGTATAGTGAGGGTCTGCTGGGAACGTCTGGCGGAATCCCCTATCAGGAGGAGTTTCAACTCCTATCTCCGGCAGAACTCCCATGTCCCGGGGGAGGCGGGGAACATTGAGTCCGAATGGGCCATGTTCCGCGCCTCCATTGTGGAGGCGGCTGACTGGAGCTGTGGCCGTTCGCGGCGGCAATCCCCGAACCCGCTGGTGGACACCAGTGGTGAGGGATGCCGTCAAGCTGTAGAAGGAGTCCTATTGGGCCTTTTTAGCCTGTGGGACTCCAGAGGCAGCTGACAGGTACTGGCAGGCCAAGTGGGGTGCGGCTTTGGCGGTCGCTGAGGCAAAAACTCGGGTATGGGAGGAATTTGGCGAGGCCATGGAAAATGACTTCCGGACGGCTTTGAGGCGATTTTAGTCCACCATCCGGCGGCTCTGGGCGGGAAAGCGGTGCAACATCAACACTGTTGGGCAATAAAAAAATAAAAATAAAAAAAAAACACTGTTGGGGATGGGGTGCTGCTGACCTCAACTCGGGACATTTTGGGTTGGTGAAAGGAATACTTCGAAGACCTCCTCAATCCCACCGACACACCTTCCAATGTGGAAGCAGATTATGGGGACTTGGGTGTGGACTCCCCTACCTCTGGGGCGGAGGTCGCTGAGGTGGTTAAAAAGCTCTTAAGTGGCCGGGCCCCGGGGGTGGATGAGATCTGCCCAAAGTTCCTTAAGGCTCTGGATGCTGTGGGGCTGTCCTGGTTGACACGCATCTGCAGTATCGCGTGGACATCGGGGGCAGTGCCTCTGGACTGGCAGACCGGGGTGGTGGTCCCCCTCTTTAAGAAGGGGGACCAGAGGGTGTGCTCCAAATATAGGGGGATCACACTCCTCAGCCTCCCTGGTAAGGTCTATTCGGGGGTTCTGGAGAGGAGGGTCCGCCGGATT